AAAGATGTTTCTTAATTCCATGTCCTGCCCAGGTTGTATCAGCGTCATCACATGTGTAAAACATAACCAAATATAGTGTAGTATGTACCATAAGCAAAAACCATTAATCTCCTAAAATATGCTCACATGAACAGAGTGAAAAAACCAGCATTAGAAGTATTGGCAATTTCCTATGGACAAAACCTCTTCCAAGATGGCCACTTCGTGACTTCCTGTCGACATCCGACGTCACTTACTGATGCGTTTCATCACTTCCTGACTTCAACTGAGGCTCAGAGGTCGGATTCATATGCTCAGTCAGATGCATCAGAGCTGTCTGCTGCTCTGTGTTCAATTTCTCACCCACACATGCTCTGAAGCTGCATGGACTGGAGTGTGGGCAGGCACAGAGGGAGCAGATCCAGAAAGAAAACTGAATGATTGGGAATGATCAGTGCAGCGGTGGGGGCAGTGACAAGCAGCGATCTCCTGTTTGACTTTCAATGAAGCAGCTGGAAGACAATTCTCCTCCTCTACCTCCTGCGGCTTCCAGCTGCTTCATTGAAAATCAGACTGGAGATCGCTGCTTGTCACTGCCCCCACCGCCGCCCCTCCCACACACCCCTAGTCCTGACGCTGCTCACCCCCACCTTATTTCATCTCGTGGTCTAGTGAAAATTTTGTATCCCAACAATGACCCAACTGTAGGAGATACAAGATACAAGCAAACTAAACTGGAGCCTTTCCCCTGTAGTGCCCCCAAGTGGCAGAAATGCATATGTCTGTTGTTTGAAAACTGCATTGAGAAGTATAGTGTTACTTTAGGATTTGCTTGTCTTCAGCTGAAAGACCTTATAATAATTGAAGGCTCCACATAAAGTCTCAGAAATATTGCATTAACCACTTGCCTACCAGACACTTATACCCCCTTCCTTACCAGGCCAATTTTCAGCTTTCAGCGTTGTCACACTGACAATTGCGCAGTCATGCAACATTGTACCCATATGAAAATTTTATCATTTTTTTCTCACAAACAGAGCTTTCTTTTGGTGGTATTTACTTGCCGCTGGGTGATTTACTTTTTGCACTATAAACAAAAAAAGAGCAAAAAATTTGAAAAAAAAGTTTTTCTTGTTTCTATTATAAAATTTTGCAAACAGGTAACTTTTCTTCTTCACTGATGTGCGTTGTGGAGGCTGCACTGATAGGCAGCACTGATGGGCACTGATAGGCAACACTGAAGGGCACTGATAGGCAGCACTAATGAGGTGGCACAGATAGGCGGCACTGATAGGCTGCACTGATGATGGGTACTGATAGTCAGCACTGATAGGCGGCACTGACTGGCGGCATTGCTGGGCACTGACTGGCGGCACTGCTGGGCATTGACTGGCACAACTGCTGGGCACTTACTGGCGGCACTGCTGGGCTGCACTGATGGGCACTGGCGGGGGGCACTGCTGGGCACAGGTGGGTGGCACTGCTGGGCACAGGTGGGTGGCGTGGGTGGGTGGCACTGGTGGGTGGAACTGATGGGAAACCGATCATCAGGGCACCGATCCCTGCTCTGACAACTGCCAGTTCTCGGCAGTACTTTCCTCACGCTCTGACAGTGTGAGGAAAGTGCAGCCGAAAATCGGCAATTGCATTTCCCTGTGATCAGCGTGTCATTGGACACAGCTGATCACGTGGTAAAAGGCCGCTGTGATTGGCCTTTTATAACATCACGTGATCAGCTGTGTCCGTAGGACACAGAGATCGCCGGCTGTGTGCCCCCAGGGGCGCGCAGGAGAGAGCGTTCTGGGAGGACGTCATATGACGCCCTCCCAGAACTGGCTGGTCGCAGTGCAGCCGTCGTTCGGCTATCTGCGGTCGACAACTAGTTAAGGTCCTCATTTTGCATAGTTACCATGTCATAAAGATATTAAATTTCATTGTAAAAGAACATTTTCCACGCTTCTCTTTTTTTTTTAAATTTTCCATAAAAAAACAGAAGTCAGCTATGATAAAACTGAAAAAATGTGTTTATTCCCAATTTGTCAGGTTTTTTTCTCCAGGCCTTCCCATTCCTAGTTGGGATGGAATCTGCCATTTTTGTCTTTCAGCATAGATGAGAGAAAGTGGTAGAAGGCCCTAGGAGAAGTCTTCCCGAAAAATTAAACAGACCTAAGATTAGAGGCAGAAGGTCTTTGGAGTTTTCTCAAAGAATATAAACATTAAAAAAAAAATAAGTTTGACATTTTTAAAGTGTATCTCTTGTTTTATTTATCTAATATTTTTATTGTTGGAACCTGCTAGGGGCGAGCACTACCCAGAACAAGGCCTGCCCACTGTGTATTGGCTGCTGTGGAGGCCCAGGGAGTTTTTCACTTTAGGCATTCCCAAACTAAATATGGAATATTATGTAATAATTTTACTTCCACTCAAACATTAACAATAATCCTACAAAGGACTGTTGAGTGGTACATTAGTATAAGGTACTAATAGCATTTAGTGTAAAGTTGAATAAAACAAAACTAAGAGATCCCCACATCGACTCAAGTAATGTGCATGCAGGGATATCTCCTGCTGTAATATTGTATTCTGACAGCGGTAGTAGGCTCCCTCCCTATAGCCCCCCCCCCCCTTCCCCTGTCAGAATACACAGATCAAGGCTGCAGCCATTGACTGCACGTGTTGATCTAATGCTATATCATACACACTCATCCACTAAAGCATTTGTTTTCTGTAGACTGCAAAAATCCTGGTTGATCCTGCAGTTCACTGTCCTTCCCTCCTTGCCTGTGTCCCTGCTGCAGCCTAAGGTTGTGTTGACTAGCTGCTGACATCTGCTGAACTCGAGTTTCAGTTCCCTTTTAAGCTGTTCATTTGCTCCTTTTACGTATTTTGCAGCTCACACAACTATAGTAGTAGTTGAAAACACAGTGATGAATGACATTCCCCCTTCCTCCCTCCTCCTCCATGCCCCCATATTGCTAAACATTATGGGGCGGGTGGTGATTGATGGAGGCTTCACCTCTCTGTTAGTCTCAGCACATACACACCATAGACAGGCTAGAAGGACGTCACACAGTCTGTGACTGGCAGAACCTCCTCCAGATCTCTTTACAGTGTGAACAAAGTGAAAATTATTGTCAATCAATCAAAACTTCACCTACCCCACGTTATTAGCAAAAAAATAATACACATTTGTTTTGAAATATAGATTTGTATGAAGCTTTAAAACACTTTGTCGCTGTGAATTATTAATTTTAATTCTCTATTCTGAAAGCACAGCACCAATCAATGCTGTACAGACACAGATTCATAAATCAGCAGAGTACTAGAAAATCCTTCCTCAGAACTTTCCCTAAGGACAGGAAAGACCTGGAAAATGTCATGTGACCTCTGAAGAGCAATATTTGTGCACTCAGATGATTTTTATATTGAATTAAATACAGTGACCAATGGTCTTTATATATAAATAGATAGAATAATGGCAATTAAACATTGTATGTTTAATACTACTGGGTGATATACTTGTACAGTATATTATTTAAAGGTGATACAGGTACTCCCAATGCTTGTATTCTATTCTGGTCATGCGTGCCAGGTGAAAAATGACAATTTTAGAATTTGATTGTCCTTCATGGAACAATCTGCAACAGTCATCTACAGGTACTTTAGACACACCAGCACTTTCATTACATGCCACAATTCCGTTTGAACAAAAATGGATCATACTTGACTTCTTCAGTTTTAAAGACGTGGCAGTTAGGGAGTTATCAGACAAAACCACTGTGATTACAAAGTCTTTTGGACGATAAAAGGCAAAGACTTCATTAAAAGAGGGGATGATACTATATTCATGCATTTCTATACTGGTATCACTAAAAAGTTATATTGAAAAGAAATGTATGTCAGAGAGTCAGGTGACTCATTGTAAACAGTGCTCACGTTTTGTGGCCAAGGGATGTTGAAAGCGGCTAAGACAAACACAGAGCACTCTCTAGCGTACAGATAAAAGAAACCTTTTATGAGACAAAAATGGTGGCTGCCACCTATGACAATGCATTCTGAAAATACTGGCTCCCTGACTGTTATGGTCAAATTCTTTGCTCAGTTCTTCTAGTCATTGATTTGGAACAGATATGCAGATAAACACTTCTAATTTTTTTTAAAGCTTCCCAGATGGGTCAAGACAATAGACAGTCATCAAACATTTTGAGAATAAGGTCAACAGACAGTTGACAGTTATACTTTGATATGATAAAAGAAGAGGACCTACACTGTGGAAGCTGTGCCCAAGCGCAGGACAAGAGATTAATCCCAAGTATTGCCTGCTGACTTCCTACACATGTTCTTGTTACTATTGTTTCAGGATCTTCAGGGTGTTTGCAAAAAAAATTAAAAGTCAGCAGCTACAAATACTGTAGCTGCTGAGTTTTAATAAAAGGACACTTACCTGTCCAAGAATCCAGCACCATCCTCACTCAGATCGGTTCTTCGCCAGTCTACGGGTCCCTGGCACCGACATGTTAAGTGTGGTAAGCTGACTGTGTCTCCTTGCAGCTTCTCAGTGCGCATGTGTACTGTGTGAATGGTCCCGCAGCCTCATGGGACCTGTGACATTTCCCAAGAGGTCGCTTATGGTGAGAGAGAGAGGGGGATGGGGGCAGAACTGCTTGTGAAATTGCCTAGATGATCCAAATGAAAGTGGGAGTGGGTATCTACCAAAGGTACCAGCCCCCCCCCCCCCCAAAAAAAGAAGCCGAAAAGTGCTAGAGGAGAGGGGAGTACAAAAAGCAGAATTTCCCCTTTAAGGTGAATCCAATTTAACTACCATGTCTTGTCTTGCACTGTGTCCTTGCATGGAGGCAGTGCTTGGTAGAGGCAAAGCTTTGCTTGCCTGTGTCAGAGGTGCCCCTCTGTTGACTGGTGCTAGTGATGACATTTGGAGGAATATTAAAAAAACATCAAGATAGGTGGAAATCACAAATCCACAGAAGGAATGAAGGAGAAGGAAGCATGCACCACAGGTTGTAGCCTCCCTGGCGGTATTCTCGAGTGTAGCTCGGGGTAAAGTTTCAGTACCACAAGCGGTAACCCCGAGCTACACTCGGGCTTACCATGCGGCGCTGCTCCGGGATCTGTTCTTCTCTTACCTTGTCCTGCGCTCCCGCGATGTCCCTCCTGCAGTGTCCCCTGTAATGTCCTCCGGCGGATGCCGGCATCTGTCTTCTGGGTTCCATCCCCAGTAACGTCGGTACGTACGGGGGACAGAACTGGTGGGAAATTTGAAAATGACAAAAAGTGACATTCACTAAATTCACTAAAATAACATAGTAAAACATTACTGTATCAAAGCATTTCACATACATTTTGTCCCGAGTGCTTTGTCCTGTGCCCTGCCTACATTTTTACTGTTCTTTCTGCCTGGAAACTGAGAAACGTCCATGGCGTCCAAAAAGCGTCCCTTTAGGTCAAAATTGGTTTTAGACCAGCTAGAGAACAGCGATAGTAAATCAGAACCACTTGCAGAATTGAGCGATAATGATTCGTGGGGAAATTCGTCATCAGACACTGAAAACGATTTTGCGACTTTGCTCAGTGATGTGCGAACTTGGCGCTATATTTCACATTTCAGTGTTGTTGGTTTGATTATATTATTGAATTACATTTATTGTTATTATATTATTATTTTTTATGATTATTTATTAAATTATAATTTATGATTTCGTGTTTCAAATTTTAACATACCCGGGATGTTTACTAGACTCTTGTTTGGACAGATTTCAGTGAGTTATTCCTAAAAATTACAGGCCTACAATAAAAAAAATACATATTCCCATGCAAAAAAATTTACCGCTTTGAGCACAGAAATATGGACATTATCAGACCGCTAGGGAAGTTAAAGGATAAGTTTACCTTTCATAACATATTCAGGGTGTAACATGTAACATGTTATGAAAGTACCAGCTCCCGCTCTACGCCGATCCCCAACTTTGACAGCTATCGGGGGATCTTCTCCCAACACCCCCCACCACCCACACATACTAGCTGTCAAATTTGAAAAAAAATGTGGGGCTCTGCCTGTCCGGCCATGGCACTCATTCACTGTGTTCTGTGAATCAGAAACTACAAGTCCCGGCAGTCTTAGCGGCAAAAAAAATGTGCATTTATTATTTTTTACCAAAAGGTGAATTTATCACCTTTTGGTAAAAAATGTATCACCTTTTGGTAAAAAAAAAAGTACAGCTTTATCTCCAGCAAGAGAACAGTGAGTAGCACAGTAGTGCAATTACCAATTACCACAAGCAGATGCCCACACACATTGAATCTGCCATTTGTTCATGTGGTTGGAGATGCCAGGTCCAGCAGCAGAAAGCCCATATATGTCTATGTGCAGACACAACCATTCATCCTAATTTGACAGATGTGTAGGTGCGTGGCCCCACACGCAGTGTATGTTTGGGACCTTTCACCCACACCCCTGTCAGATTAGGACATTGTGTCCAGCTGCTGCCTCCCATAAACTTAAATGGGGTGCCTGCGTGCAGTACCTGGTGGCCCAAGCCACATAAACAAACAGTCATTTCACAGTGTATGGGGCTCAGCACCTTTGAGGCCTAATACTAGGGCAGTTGTGCCTCTCTTAATGCAGATATGCGTATATAGGACTCAAGGAACAAAAGTAGCAGGGTACTACTTAGGCACAATGAAGACATTTTTACCTTTTTTAGTTTAGGTCCACGTAAATTAAAAAAAAACTTGCAATAATAAAAATGCACTCAGTGAATTTACACTGTCATTTCCTTTAAACACGGAGCAGTCCTGCCACTGAACCCAGTGACTGAGAAGAGGGACACATTTCCTATTTGGACAGATGAGCACAGGACTACTTTGGACCACATCCATGTATTCAAGACAATAGCCAGCTCTTTGGACCACTTCCAGTCCCGTGGTTTTACAAAGCAGGAAAAATGACCTCTCACTCTTTGTGCAGAGATTAGCTTCAGAATGCAGTTGTAAACATACCCAAAACAGTTAGGAATAAAAGCGGGCTCTCGGAAATAAGGCTTTCCTGGTCAAACTCTAAGAAGCTGTAATGTTTAGAAGTGATCTCACCTGCCGCCTGGGGAGGTTGTTAGGTTGTTGCTCACATCAGCTTAGGTTGTTGCTCACATCAGCTTAGAATTCTAAAAAGAGAACCAGTATTATAATTGTTCAGGCTTACCTAAGGAAAATACATATAAGCTGATTCTTACAAAATCCCACTTGTGAATAATTCTCTGTAGACTCCAGCTTCAGACAAAACTTTTCTTAGGCACCAATCCATAGGTACATACTTTAATATGATCCAAACAATCCTAATGCAGTGTACAACAATCTGACTAGCTATGAGCATGAAAAACGATCACAAGACACAAGAACCAAGCTTTACTGTGTCTACATACAAAGGTAAACTAAAAAATTTGGCTGCACAGCTTTCATACTTGTATCCTAAACAGGTAATACATGTCAGCTGAATAATGACTGTCTGAAGCTTTATGGAACTCCCAGAAGCATTCATATTCAGGTATTTTTCATACATCTGTTTACACACAGTTTTTCTGGTATCCCTCAGATTGCATGTTCTAGCCTTACCAAAATGGCCTTTATGGAAATGGAGGCTACTTCTGGTTAAAGTACATTTGGCAGTAAATGGCAGTGCTAACAAGGATTGGCCTTACTTCTCCCACTTACCAGTATGGTACAGAAATACTTCTCCCTGATTGGAGGGTCTTTTGCCCCAGTGAGATAAAGGATTATTCTGTGTAGGGAAACCACCCACGGGGAGAGACCAGACACACACACACAAGGCCTAAAAGATACTCAGCAGATCAGCCTTTCTCAACCTTTTGAAAATGAAGAAACCTTTGAAAAGTTTTTAGGTCATGTTAAACCCCTGTTGATAATTCTTATATCTATGTCTCGCATTAGTCAGTTGTGAATATAGGAATAAATAAGGAATGGGGTGTATTCAGAGTCTTGAAACAGACAAAAAAAACACAAAAGGGCCACAAAAGAAATACAAACCATACAAATTGTATTGTTCTTTCACTTTGGTGGTCAGTGTAGTGACCACCATTACACCAATGGTCAGTGAAGTGCTACGTTATATCATGGAAAATGGCCCACTTAGATTGGTGGTGGTCAGTCGGAAGAAGTCCTCTTGCATTGGTGGTTTGGGGGATGTAAAAATATCGCCCTTTACAGATAGTAAAAAAGATAATTGGTGTCAGTGGTAACCTATCTCACAGGTAACAATGGCTCATTGCTCAAGGACCCCCTGGCAACTTCTGGAAGAATAAAGAACAAAAACAAAAGAACACTAACCTTGTGCATTACCTCGGTGAGTAAAGTAAACTTATTAAGTTAAGATGTATACTCACAAAAGTAGCAATATAAAAAGCATATAAAATCCAACATCAGCAGACACGTGTGGGTCCCATCTAGAGAGGAGACTCTCAGGATGAAGCTGACACGTTTCGAAGTGTGATCCCTTCTTCCTCAAGGCTAGTCAGACTGAGAATACCCTCCTCTATATATAGTGTGGGCCCTCCCATATGGGCAGACATTCACATCATGGGGGGGGTGAGGCAACAGTGTCACAGAGCACATAAATAAATTCATGCATAAAAACATGCTCAGAAAAAGTCTGTGTGTGCATATGCAATATGCCCATATATATATATATATATATATATAGACAAATAAATAAATAAACACATAGCCTGCATGATGGCTGTAATTAGCTTGATCGCTCAGATAAATAGATGAATAAATAAATACTTCATTAGCAATGGAGATACAAAACTCTTTAAAAATCATCATTATTAGAAATGGCAATGGAAAACAAAGATTACACTTTACCTCAACCTTTCACTTGTGTTTAGAAATGATGCATCTTTAGAGTAGAAAAAGTCCATAATTAGGGATTTTTTAAAAAGATTTCAAGGTTACTTAAGTGCTCTTTAAAGCATCTCTAGCACCTTGTATAGAGTGGTCAGGCAAGTGTGGGAGAAGTTTTAGATATGAATCCATTGAAAATGGCAGTGGAGAGAGAGGGGGGGTTGTTCTTTGTTACAGCTGATATTGGGCTTCCCCAGCCTTGAGTTAGAGCTGCACAGCCTTTGATCTGCCACTGGATAAACTTTCATATATGGTTCCACCCGCTGATTTCTGATCTGGGTCTCTGAGCGCAGGAGGTTTTGTTTCTGTTTCAACTTTTGGAGGAACCCTGGTTGAGAAAATGGCAGAAGATACTAAAGTGGACCCTGATATTGTTAACTACATGCCGCCCAGCCACTGTACATATACGGCGGCAGGGCGGCACTCGCAGGCAAAACCACGTTTTAAAACGTGTGTTTTGTAAACAAATAGGGGGTTCACGCGAGGCGCGCCGCTGCCCTATATGTCCCGCGGATCACCGCCGCAGATGTCAGTCGCCAGGTCACAGCCGCTCCTTAGCGGCTATGTCCCGTCGATCGGCGGCAAACAGTGACAGACAGCACAGCTGCAGTAGCTGTGCTGTCTGTCACTTCCCTGTCAGCTCGAGGATGAGCTGATCGAGAAAGAAGAGTTTCTCTTTCTCGATCAGCCTTGTCCCGTGCAGCACACACACCCCCGCCCCCTAGTAAAACACTCCCCTCACTCCTATAACCCTTCCCTGCAAAATAAAGTTAACCCCTTCCTCCCCATTGCCATTAGTACAGTGTCAGTTTTTTTTTTTTGCACTGATCACTGTATTAGTGTTTTTGGGGATGTCAGTGACCCCAAGTCAGTACCCCCCAATGTCAGAATGTCCGCCGCAGTCCCGCCATAAGTCGCTGGTCGCTGCCATAAGTCCCTGATCGCCGCCATAATTCGCTGATCGCCGCCATTATTAGTATAAAAAAAACCCTAAAAATCCCAGTATCTTTCCCGCCATTTGTAAACGCTATAACTTTCACGTAAACCAATTAATTTACACGTATTGGGTTTTTTTTTTAGCAAAGATATGTCGCAGAATGCATTTTGGCAGAAATTTATGACTAAATTTGATTTTTGCATTTTTTTTTACTGGACATGTTTTATAGCAAAAAGTCCAAAATATTGTTTTTTTCCTCAAAATTGTCAGACTTTTTTTTTTATAGCGCAAAAAAATAAAAACCGCACAGGCAATCAAATACCACCGAAAGAAAGCTCAATTTGTGGGGGAAAAAAAGTATGTAAATTTCATTTATGTACCATATTGCATGACCGCGCAATTGTCCGTTAAACTAGCGCAGTGCTGTATAGCAGAAAAATGGCGTAAATTGCAGTATTTATACCATAGTTTGTAGACGCTATAACTTCC